AGTGTCAACTCCCCATCCGCACTTGGAAGCACCCTGCTTCCCTGTGTTACAGAGTCACAGGAATCCTCATCCACCTCAGTAGTTTCTGTGATTCCATGCCCCTTCTCTGGGCTCTCTGGGACACATTTCTCTTTGCTCCCCAGAGTTGGTTTTGCCTTTGGTTCAGTTGCAACCTGCTGGCAGCTAACAACCTGGACAGTTCTCTCTCTGGCAGGCATTACACCCCCATTCCTTCCTGATGTGGTGTTGCCTCCAGCTGCAGTGCAGGAGTTGGTCTCAACCACCCTCCCACCTGGAAGCATGTGGCTTCCCCCAGCTGCAGAAGAATCAAGGAGACTCTCTCCCATTCTCTCAGCAGTTCCTGAGACCTTACCCTTTCCCTCAGGGGTCCCAGCATAAAACTCTCTCCTGCTGCAGGCAAAAACTTTACCCTGAGCTACACTGTCAGCAGTGGGGCGGGGTAGGAGGGCAGTCTGCAGCTTACTGCTGTCTTACTGAGGGCTAGGTTGAAATGGTAGCCAGTGAGTATGGAGAGGTTGTTAAATTTCTCCAGTGTGGTTCTGGGCTGGGGTTCTGAGGCAGCGCAGTGTCTGAGGTAGGGCACATTGCACCTTTCCTTTGCACTGAAAAAGCAGAGTGTGAATGAGTGCATTATGGGTGTATGAGGTGCCGTTCCACAGGGTGAGTTAAGGCTGTGTGGGCATGTACCTTGACCCCATAGTTCCTGGTCCTCTGAAGTTTGTGTTTTGCTGAAGGACACAAGCAGATCCCAGGAAACCTTAGCCCTGCAGTAGGGGGGTCTTCCCATCTAATTTTCTAAGTTGTTTTAACAGAAACAACAGTGCTGGTATGAGTTGGTGGTCATTGTGGCCTTTGCACATAGCCTTCAGGCCAAATGGACTAACAACCATGGCCTATCCCCTTCTCCCCTCCCCGTCCCTTCCAGTCCAGCCTCCCCTGACCAAGCTAGTTTCTCCAGGGAGGGGGAGTGTCTCTGATGTGGCTATGTGGAAGTGTACACAGGGTGTCCAACTGGACCCAGCCTTGGAATCTGACTTTCTGCAGTCGATGACAGGAGAACCCCAGGGCTCTTTGAAGACCCACCACCATTTTCTGCAAAGGAGCTGTATCCTGTGCACTGCTTGGCCAGCCTGAGTTTCCCTGCACATTCCTCCACCACCACCACCACGTACTCAGCATAGGAAGCTCCAAGAGGTGTAAAGTGGGTTGGCCCATTCATCTACATGTGATGGTCTTAGAATCATAGAATCATAGACTATCAGGGTTGGAAGGGACCTCAGGAGGTCATCTAGTCCAACCCCCTGCTCAAAGCAGGACCGATCCCCGACTAAATCATCCCAGCCAGGGCTTTGTCAAGCCTCACCTTAAAAACTTCTAGGGAAGGAGATTCCACCACCTCCCTAGGTAACGCATTCCAGTGTTTCACCACCCTCATAGTGAAAAAGTTTTTCCTAATATCCAACCTAAATCTCCCCCACTGCAGCTTGAGACCATTACTCCTTGTTCTGTCATCTGCTACCCCTGAGAACAGTCTAGAGCCATCCTCTTTGGAACCCCCTTTCAGGTAGTTGAAAGCAGCTATCAAATCCCCCCTCATTCTTCTCTTCTGAAGACTAAACATCCCCAGTTCCCTCAGCCTCTCCTCATAAGTCATGTGTTCCAGTCCCCTAAGCATTTTTGTTGCCTCCACTGGACTCTTTCCAATTTTTCCACATCCTTCTTGTAGTGTGGGGCCCAAAACTGGACACAGTACTCCAGATGAGGCCTCACCAATGTCGAATAGAGGGGAACGATCACATCCCTCGATCTGCTGGCAATGCCCCTACTTATACATCCCAAAATGCCATTGGCCTTCTTGGCAACAAGGGCACACTGTTGACTCATATCCAACTTCTCGTCCACTGTAACCCCTAGGTCCTTTTCTGCAGAACTGCTGCTGAGCCATTTGGTCCCTAGTCTGTAGCGGTGCATTGGATTCTTCCGTCCTAAGTGCAGGACCCTGCACTTATCCTTATTGAACCTCATCAGATTTCTTTTGGCCCAATCCTCCAATTTGTCTAGGTCCCTCTGTATCCTATCCCTACCCTCCAGCGTATCTACCACTCCTCCCAGTTTAGTGTCATCTGCAAACTTGCTGAGGGTGCAATCCACACCATCCTCCAGATCATTTATGAAGATATTGAACAAGATATTTGCATTGTACCTCAAAGGGCTGGTGGGTGCTAGGCACTCTGTCAGGGTAGCCCTTGAGTGCTGGACAACATGGTGTGCTGATTTGAGCCCTGCTTTGATCTCAGCTCTGCCAGAACGTGTCAACTTTAAGAGAAACTGTTTTTTCCCCAAGGGTGGTTTCTCGGGACCCCATGGTCAAATTTCCCCAAATTTGGGTCACTGGCCGTTCCCCATGCTCCAACAAGGCACACCAAAGTTCAACTCAATCTGATTGACTGTATGGATTTTAGAGCACTTAGAAGAGTCAAACTTTAAACAGAATGCTGATCTCAACCTGAACTGTAGCAGAGCTGCCACTCCACTATAATGTGTCAGCAGGAAACCGTCTTTCTCCACATTGCCACTAAAGAGCACCACGGTGCTTGCTGGGCTGCTGGTTCCCACTGCCAAATACATGGTGCTGAAGCCCATTGCTACTCCTGTTCCCATCTGGCAAGGAGCATTCCCCATCCTCCACAATAAGGAACAAGCAACATCTTTCGAAAGGGAAGGGAAGGCAATGTCTCCTGGCATCCAGTTCAGACAAGGGCAGGTTGTGCAGATTTTGGTGTTGAAGGTACTCAGTTAATGCTGCTCTGTGCCTGGCATATTTGGCTGGGTTTTGTGCTTCTTCCCAGTCACCTGTGCTCTCTCATGTGTTCCTGTTTTCCTGCATTAGGACATTTGGGCTAAGCCTCAGCACTGACCTGAATAAAGGAAACAGCCTGCTACGTTGATTATAGTCCATGAGATGGGCTTGTGGCATTTTAACTGTGCCTTTTCCTTTCCTCACAAGAACAATATGATAGTGAAGATGGCTTTGCTTTGTACGCTCGGCAGGTTTGAGAATCCCAGGGTAGGAAAGGCTTTAGATTTTACTCTCTGCTTTTCAGAAGATATTACAAATGTTTAGCATTTCAATATAGACAGAGAAAATCACTCTTTTGTATCATGGAAACATTCTGAGAACTATACGGAGGTGAACAATTCTCCGACCGTGGAACTCTGTCAGTAAATTAATAAAATAGGTCTCCGGGGTTCTGCTATCTGCCAAGCATGTAGAATTCAACAGCTAACTTCCAGTCTTCCCTCTGCTCTCCAAACCACCAAAAGGAGAAGGGTAAGAACGACGGAAAGGAAAGGGGTGGCCGGCCCAGCCTGCCTGAATGCCACACCATAGAAAAACAAACATTCGCCTTAGGGTACGGGTTAGGTTTGAGTGACAGAGTCAAAGCCCAGCACAATGAGGCAGGTAGTGCAGTTAGCAGGGCTGAAGCTCCTGGGTGCTATGTGTGAAATCAGAAGGGTCAATGGATAATGTATCTGCTTGCAGGAAAATGTATCCGCTTATTTGTTAGAATCAGCCTGTTCAACAACAGGAAGCCCCGTAGCAACCCATTGGCTGTGCTCCTCAGGTCTCATTCTTAGCTTTCCACATGCAGCCTGTTCCCCACCAAAAGCCAGTTGTGTGTGGACCCTCATGTGTTAACTTTACTCTCCGTGAAGCCAGAACACTGGGGCGTAACTCCCCTGCTTTCCTATGTAACTGCTACTATGACAGGTGTGGGCAAACTTTTTGGCCCGAGGGCCACATCGGCATTGCGAAACAGTATGGAGGGACAGGTAGGGAAGACTGTGCCTCCCCAAACAGCCCCCACGCGCTATCCGCCCCCTCCCACTTCCCGCCCCCCTCAGAATCCCCAACCCATCCAACCCCCTGCTCCTTGTCCCCTGACCGCCCCCACCAGGACCCCACCCCCCTATCCAACCTCCCCTGCTCCCTGTTCCCTGACTGCCTTGACCCCATCCACCCCCCTGCCCCCTGCCAGGCCCCCCGACCCATCCAACCCACCCTGTCCCCTGACCGCCCCCTCCTGGGACCCCCGTCCCTAACCTCCCCCCCCCAGGATCCCACCCCCTATCCAACCCCCCCGAACCTCCACCCTATCCAACCACCCCCGTCCCCTGACTACCCCCCAGGACCTCCTGCCCCTTATCCAACCCTCCCACCCCCTTACCATGCTGCTGAGAGTGGCAGGACTGGCTTATTGGAAAGCCTGGGAGGTGGGCTGTGGGGGAGGGCAGACAGCGGGGGAGGGGCTGGAGACTAGCCTCCCCAGCTGAGAGCTCAGGGGCTAGATAGGATGGTCCCTCGGCCAAATGTGGCCCGTGGGCCATAGTTTGCCCACCTCTGTACTATGATAATGAGCAGGCCCTGGCCCCGTTAGGAGTAATACCTAGGCTGAGGAGATGAGGCCCCGTTGTGTGCGTATGAAACATACGAGGGAACCATTGCATTCCGTGGGTTATGACCTCATCAGATCTCACAGGCTAGGAAGCACTGGCTCTGCTACAGTGGCTGACTGAATGGGAAGCCTGTGTGAGCTACCTGTAGTCCTGCCTTGTCTCCACAGAGCTCAGCGGGGCTGTGGCCCTCCACTGTGTGCAGGCCTCACATATCTCAAACGTCTTCAGAAATAGCTGCATCTACTTTAACCTTTGTCTTTACAAAGCCTGCTCCCTAGGGCGCTCTGAGTGGCGGCTCCTTCTTGGAAGTCAGAAGCCCTCAGACCTGAGAGCAGGAGAGATGCAGTGTCACAAACCCTTGGTCGAGGAGTCGGCCCTAGCAATAATAACTGCAGGGAAACTACTCCAGCCAAGGGGCAGTGAGTCTCCCTGGAGGTCAGTAGGAATTCTCTGCCCCTCTGAACCCTGGCAGAACTACACACTCCACTGAGACCAGCAGTGCAAAGCTCACTAAATTATGGATGATATTTTCTTTCACTGTTTTGCAGAAAAATGAATGGTTGTGTTTGAACTGCCAAACTCAGAGGCTGCTAGAAGGAAGCCTAGGAGACCCTGCTCCAATACCACTACCTGCTTCAAAGCAGCAGCCAACAGGATCCTCCCGACACCAACCAGGGGGAGCTGGTCAACACAGAGGAGGTCCTCAATCTGTAACAGCTCAGAAGTCAGAAATGTCCACTCCTCAGGACAGGAACCTCCTCCAAGGAAAGCATCTCAGGACTTCAGAGCAGAGCAAGCTGCAGGCAATGATGAAAGAGAGCAAGCCCACTGCCCCCTCAGAAGAAAAGCCACTGCTGAAACTTCCTGGTGAGGCTCCAAAAGTTCCTGAAAGTGCATCGCCAAAGGGGAAAAGTATGGCTGCGAAGCCAGAAGCAGAGAGCAAAGCAAGCAAGGCAGTCACTGAGGCTCAGCAAGTGAGAGAGCAGGAGGTAAGCACCCCTTCTCCCTCCTACTTACTCTTACCTCCCACTGGGCTGGCCTGTTCCTGCCAGGGTATAACATTGCCTTGTACTCAGAGCAGGCAGCACCCCCTCCTACCCTAGGGAGAGGTCTGGGATGGAGGCATTAGCTAGCAGTCTGCAGGGGGCAGAGGCTGTGAAACAGAAAGAACATGGTAGCCTCAGAAAAACAGGGGCTTGGCTTTCAGGTCTGACCCAGTAGAGAGCTGGAGAAAGCATGTATAAATGACTGCACTGGGGAAGCAATGTCCCACAGCCCGTCAGAAATGTGTCATGTCTAACACTTTGATTCCAATCCCAATTTCTCTGTCAGCACTTTGGGAATCACTGCATAATCCATTCTAGTAGGTAGTGTCCTTCGGATACCAGGCCCAAACATCCGGGAGAGTCAACAACAGGCTGCAGAGAAGGGGAATGTCTTACGGTGACATTAGAGGCTGCTTCCCCTCTCACTCAGATGGTTCCCCCAGTGTAACGCCACTGACCTCAGCTGAGTTACTCCTGCTTTATGCAGTGTGACAAAGTTCCTACTCTACCTTGGTGGGTCTTGCGCTTGGCGGATTTGCTCACCTCGGAGATTCACAGCAGCCCTAAGACACCCTGGTTCGGTGTCAGATCAGGGGATATCCTGATCTGCTCATGTAGGTTATTTCCCTGGATCGGGGCCTCTTGGGCCACTACACATGCCTCTCACTGGTGCCAAGCTTTCAAGAGGTTAATGTGATAGATCTGTTCTTGTTTTCGGCATCCTGGCTGCCGCACCTTGTAGGTTACTTCCCCCACAAGTTCAACCACCTCATAGGGCCCCTGCCATTGGGCCAAAAGCTTGCTTTCTGCTATGGGTACCACCACCATCACCCGATCCCCTGGTTGGAACTGTTGGACTTTTGCCTGGCTATTGTAATGGGTTCGCTGGGCCTCCTGCACCTTTTCCAAATGTTCTCATACGATAGGGGTGACCCGGGCTATCTGTTCTCGCATCTGCAACACATGGTCAATTATATTTCTCCCCTCATTGGGTTCCTCTTCCCAGATTTCTTTTGCGATATCTAGTATGCCACGGGGGTGGCGTCCATATAATAATTCAAAGGGGGAAAACCCAGTTGAGGCCTGAGGTACCTCCTGGATTGCAAACATAACGTAGGGTAGTAGGGTGTCCCAATCCTTCCCGTCCCGACTTACCATTTTCCTTATCATTGCCTTGAGGGTTCGGTTAAACCTTTCTACCTGCCCATCGGTCTGCGTATGATAGACTGAAGTTCTCAGGGTATGTATATGGAGCAGCATACAGAGGTCCTTCATTAGCTTCGACATAAATGGAGTACCTTGGTCTGTTAATATCTCCTGAGCCCCACTCAGGCAAAGATCCACCAACTCTTTAGCTATCATTTTAGAGGCCGTGTTCCACAGGGTGACGACTTCTGGGTAGCGAGTAGCATAATCCAGAACGACAAGTATATATTGGTGGCCCCGGGCTGTCTTCTCCAGGGGTCCCACTAGGTCCATGGCTATTCACTCGAAGGGGACCTCTATGATGGGAAGGGTACTAAAGGTGCCCTCAAGTGGGGACGGGGACAGGGACTGTGCAGCTGACACTCCGGGCAGGACGCACAGTACCTCCGCACTTCTTCATGTACTCCGGGCCAGAAGAATCGTCGCAGGACCCATGCCAGGGTCTTCTCTACCCCCAAATGCCCCCCAAAAAGGTGACTATGGGCAAGACTTAATACAGCATTCTGGTGTTTTTGAGGTACTAGGATCTGTTGTACCTTCTGCCCCTGTACTGGTGTAACCCGGTATAAGAGATTCTTCTTCATTATGAAGTAGGGTCCTGGTCCCTGGGTTTTCCCTTCCATGGGTATCCCATCTATTTCATTCACCTCCTTCCTAATGTTGTCGTACCTTGGGTCTTTAGCCTGGTCCCGTCCAAAATTTCCTTTCCCGGGGCTAATCTGCCCGAGATCTAGGGGGCCAGACTCTGTTGCCTCTACTGGTTCAGAGGCGTTAGGGTGTGGGTCAGACTCGGGTGCTTCTCCCTCCTGGGTGGCCTCCTTTTCAGCTGCTCAGGTCCGCCTACCTACGAGAGCAATCCTCTGGCTTTGGGCCAGTATTCGGGTTCCCAAGGCCTTTGCTGACCTCCTTTCCCTTTTCGGCTTTCTATCCTGTCTGGGAGTGGAGAACAAATCTGGGGATATTTCAGAGAAGATTGGGGGTTGACAGTCTACTGTGGATGCCTCACTAACTTCAGGGCTTCCCCCTTTTCCAATTCCCCTACCGGGAGTAAGTCTCCAAACCCTGGGAAGTCCCTCCCTATCAGCACCGGGTATGGGAGTTTAGGGACTACACCTGCTGCTACCTCAGTAGTGTTCCCCTGAATCTTGATTTTTACTGGGATGGTGGGGTAATAACCAACTGTCCCATGGACGCATGTTATCCCCGTACGCTTAGCCCACAGAAGCTGACTACACTTCACGAGCTTCCCCGAGACTAGTGTGATAGCACTCCCCGAATCAACCAGTGCCGTGGTCTCTACCCCATTTAGTTTCACTGGTCTGGTGTACATATGTGGGGTTAGTGAGACCCCCACAAGGTGGATTAGGGAGCATAGGTCTGCCCAGTTCCCCAGGTTACACTGCATAGGCTCCTAAGCATTGGGACACTGTGCAGCTACGTGTCCCCACTCCCCGCAGGCGTAACATCTGTATGGAGTCCGAGGCATTCCCCGGTCTCTTGGTTTGGGCAGTCTAACATCACGATCCTCTTCCCCCTCAGTGCTCCGATTCTTTGTGGCTTCTGGTGGGCCTTCAGCCCCTCTCTTTTTCCACCTGGGCTCTCCTGGTGGCCAAGTCACCCGAGCTCCAGGGCTTGGTGCTGCTAGTTTAACCAGGGGTGCTTCTTCCTTAACTACTCGGGTCAGCTCCCTCGCCGTCCTTCACCTCTCTACCAGTGCAACAACCTCTTCATAGGTGGAGGGTTCATTCTGGCTTACCCAGGCGTGAAGGTCTGGCAGTAACCCTCTCGTGTACCGGTCGATGACAAGAACCTCTAGTATCTTCTCTGGACTCCAGGACTCAGTTCGTAACCACTTTCATGCGAGATGGATGAGGTCATATAATTGGGACCGTGGGGTTTTGTTTTCCTGGTACCTCCGCTCACGATATTGCTGGGACCGCACTGCGGTCGTTACCCCAGATCTGGCCAGGATCTCTGCTTTCAGTTGGGGGTAGTCTGCCGCAGCCTCTTCAGGCAAATCATAGTAGGCCTTCTGGGCCTCCCCACACAGGAATGGAGCGAGGATGCCAGACCACTGTTCTCGGGGCCAAGCCTCCTGTAGGGCTGTCCTCTCAAAGGCCAGGAGGTATGCCTCTACATCATCCTCCAGTGTCATTTTCTGCAGCCAATTGCTGGCCTTCATGACCCGTGTCCCATCATGGCTGCGGTTCAGCTCTGTAAGGGCCTTTACCTCGTTTACCAGTTCCCGCAACATAGCACGGTCTTGAGCAACCTGGTCCATCAGCAGGCGATTAGTCTCTTGCTGTAGCCGCACTGCCTCCTGTTGGGCGGCTGCCTGGAAACGGGTAGCCTCCTGCTGGGCAGCTGTGGCTTGTATCAGAGCCCGCACTACATCCTCCATTGTGGTAGGGGGGGGCCCCTCTCCTCCTTTTTTTGTTTTTTGTTTTTTGGGGGGGGTTGGGGGTTTTTTTTAAAATCACCCTCCTTCATCCACTGTGCTGCGCACACCAAATCCCACTGCTCACACCAGTTGTGACAAAGTTCCTCCTCTACCTTGGTGGGTCTTGCGCTTATTGGCAGATTTGCTCACCTCGGAGATTCACGGCAGCCCTAAGTTTGGCCTTTTTTTGTGAACCCACAGTCCAGGTCAACTCCTCCTGTGTCTGACCAGGAGTTTGGAGGTTTGTGGGGAACCTGGGCCCACACTCTACTCCGGGTTCCAGCCCAGGGCCCTGTGGAATGCAGCTGTCTAGAGTGCCTCCTGGAACAGCTGTGTGACAGCTACAACTCCCTGGGCTACTTCCCCATGGCCTCCTCCCAACACCTTCTTTATCCTCATCTTAGGACCTTCCTCCTGGTGTCTGATAATGCTTGGTACTCCTCAGTCCTCCAACAGTATGCGTTCTCACTCTCAGCTCCTAGTGCCTCCTGCTCCCAGCTCCTCACATGCACGCCACAAACTGAAGTGAGGTCCTTTTTAAACTCAGGAGCCCTGATTAGCCAGCCTTAATTGATTCTAGCAGCTTCTTGATTGGCTGCAGGTGTTCTAATCAGCCTGTCTGTCTTAATTGTTTCCAGAATGTTCCTGATTGTTCTGGAACCTTCCCTGTTGGGAAACGGAACGTCCTTTGCTTTCTCCTCAGCTATCTGCTTTCTATTCTTTCCTAAAGCCCCCTGGCCTGGATTTTTCTTTCTTTTTGAACCTGCCTTAGTCCCCCCCCCCCCGACCGGGCCAGACGCTTTTTTTGCTTTGTTTTGATTCTTTGTTATTTTTTTTCGTCTACGTGCTGTCGGCCCTCAGCTTGCCGCAAGCACCCCCCCCCCCCACACCTGCTTTCGGGCGCAGCTATTTGCCTCAGCTGAGCCCCCGGAGGAGGGGGGGGGAAGATTGCCGATTTTGCTGTCCGGAGGGGGGAGTGGAAACCCCCAGACCCAGCCGTTTTGCTGGCAGCTCGGACTTTACAACATTCTCAGCATGCCGAAGGCCTTGGAACACAGCCAACACAGCGGGAGAAGAAGATTTCAGAAGACAGGAGAAATAATCCAGGAGAGCTATAAATCATCGTGAAGGGGGCTGTAAGACTGAGTAATTTTCTGAATTATACTCTCATGGGGGGGAGTTTGACTGTGGTTACTTGCGTTTGTGGCGGCACAGGGGGTGTGGCGCGGAGTCTGCCCCGATCCATCGGTGCCCCTAACTCCCCCACCCTTACTACAACTGTCACGGCCCCCCCGCC